GAAAGTGTGCTGCTGTAGTAAATTTCGTAGAACAACCATCAGTACCTCACACAGCGTAAACCGCTGGACACAAGTATACAGGTGGAATCGTTATTGCTGAGCTCGCGAAGCGAGCGAAGCTCTAGGGGCAGACTTTTCTGGGCCAATTCCGGTCACCGCTGCTCCTGTAGGGAGACTTGAGGGGAGGAGGGGAGACGGGAAGGGGGAGCTGGGCCATTGTTTGCTAATTAGATATTACCACGCTGGTGGTGTCTACTGTCTACCAATGACGTCCAACCTGCGCCCCGACCATAGGTACGGCCGAGGGGGAAATAACTCGTGGAGTAAGTGTAGTACGTGCGGCCGTCGCACTTCCGCAACCCGGCGCAGGTGCAGACCGAGCTGCAGAAGATGACGGGCAACATAACGTTCCACCTGCCCGGCAACGACTCGTTCTGGGTAAGCGCGCGCAAAGCAACAGCCGTGCCTGCTGCCGGCAGATTTACCTCAAGCTGGACGTGCGGCACAACAACCAGTGGAAGGAGAACGCCTTCGTCTTCAACATCCCGGGCGGCGGCTGCACCGCCATGCGCACGTACGCCACGGAGGCCTACCAGACCGTCTTCAAGCGCGACCCCAATCTGACGGAGACCTGCATCTTCCCGAAGGTAAGGCTCCTCCACAGCGGCTACAGTAAGTCTAGTGCCCTAAAGCCTAAACCCAAAACTCGTTTCAAAACTGACAGGGGATCCACCAGATAAACGACATGCCACTCAACTTCTCCTTCCCCAAGATGGCCGTCATACAGTACAGACACTGGCGAGTGCAGTTCACAGGCGGAATACGGAGAAGAACCACGCTCTGTATGATGGCAGAGGCAAAGACTCTGCCAAAGCTGTAGGGCAGTGGTACAGGCAGTTGGAAAATGAAGGGTACTTAATTACAGGCATTTGGCGTTTAGTTCCGCACCAACCAATATCTTTGCCAGAGTATCAAAAGTCTCTCTTCGACCCCTTACAGCCGAATGCCTGGTGAATAAAATAGATGAAGGTAGAGTGCTAATATGGAAAATGCGAATTGAAGGTAGGTAAATACTATGGGAAATTGTAAGTTACGTACCAATAATTTTCTCACATGAATATTAAGAAAAACAATATATTTGTTCAATTTAACACTTTACAGTGAGCAAGCTATCTGCTTGTAATGGTATTAATTGGTATAGAAAACTAGAAAAAAGTTACGAAACAAATTAGTTTTTTCATAAAAGAACATACAAAAAGGAAACAAGTACTATAGTATTCTTAACTATCACAAATACTACCAAATTACCATGAGAGTGAACTATTCCTTGAATTCACAATCCATAAAAGAAG